GAACTTTGGCAAATTAGTTTAGTATTGCTTATTTAATAAAAGCAGCTATACCTTCAGAGTTACCAGCATGAAGTATAATAAAAGTGTATACTTTTATTCTTTTTAGACATGTTTTTCCTAAACTTATATAGATATACTGATTGAATAAGTTAGCATTATATCTATAATGTTCAAAATTACAAAAAAATATAAATCTGTTTCTAACAAATTAAATCTAATTAAAATAAAATATCTTTCAACAGTAATTATGTTTTATAATAAACTTACTTGAAATTTAAATATAATTTCCAAATATTTTGGTAACTTAAAACCTTATTCTAACTTAATTAATACATATTTTTATATGTCCAGATAATTTCTAACAATAAGAAAACATTAAAGCAGATTCTTAAAGTTATATATTTTTCTCTAATTTTTATAGTTCAAACTAATTTTATAGTTTATATTTTAAGTTGTACATATATAGGCTTATTAATAAATGTGTATTTTTGCCACACTGAAAAGTTATAGTTTTTTATAAAGTGTGTGGCTATTAAAAAAGCCTAAAATGCATATAAGTTCATTAATCCACAAAATGTGTTTAACACTTTACATTTTTATATAAAATAAGAATCACTATATTTGAAAATTATACTGTAAAATATATAAATAGAACTATACTAGGAAATATAATGATACATGGCAGGCAACTTGGATGGCAAGGTATGCAAAATATGATTGTTAGAAAATATAGTTTTATTCTAAAATAAAATGACTAATTGTTCCAAAATTATACAAAAGAAAAAGATATATAAATAAAAGGTTTTCTCCCAATGTTATTTATCATGGACAATGCTGGCTAATATATAAAGGGTTTATTCATATAAGATATATTTTAGAAGAAGTATCAAATATTATACTGACATTACAATGTGATTTTTGCCTGTTAAAATGACAAAATTTTCCTGGATTATTGGTCTGTGGGTTTTTTTTTAAAATCTTCACCGGAGGATATATGTTTCTTGATTTGAGAGAGATGTGAGAAACATTGATTGGTTGCCTCTGACATGTCCTGAGTAGAGGACAAACACACAACACAGGCATGTGCCCTGATCAAGAATTGAACCTACAGCCTTTTGGTGCACTGGATGATGCTCCAACCCACTTTGCCACCTGGCTAAGGCTAATCTGCTTTTCATAAAGGATTGTAAGATAAGTTTTTCTTTGTCTGACAAGTAATTTGCCTAAATGGCATACTTTCTTTGTCTATTCAGAATATGTTCCTGTGTTTTTTGCAAATTTTATTCTTTCTTAATTATTAAAAAACACACAAAATTTGCTCACTATCATATTGAAAAATCAGAGCTCAGTTATGAACATTCATAGGAAAGATAGTTAAGCGTAAATAATTATACAAGATTGTCAATAAAATATCAATACGTAAGCTAGCAAATGTAATTAAATTGATTGTGGAAATGGTAATACTGCTATCAGATAGGGTGAAATCTGTGACGAAAAACAGTAGGTAGAAGAGTATTATAAAATAAAGCCATAAGCATATTTTATTAATGGATAGAACAGAAATAAATCCATATATTCTAAAAATTAGAGCAGCCAACATATAGCAAAAATTACAGACAATACTAGAAGGACTTGATTAAACATAAAGGAAACCTTCAGTATATATTTCTCAGAATTAAACATATTAGTTGACATGACTATGGTGAAATTTTCTTGTATGTGTGTGCGTGTGTGCACTATGGATTAAATTGTTAGCCCCCACAATTCATGCATACCCCCTAAAGGGATGGCATTTGATGGGGGCTTTGAGAGATAATCAATTCATGAAATAGAGCCCTCATGAGAGATCAGTGCTGTAATAAGAAGAGACCCTAGAGAGATCTTTCTCTGCCTCCTCCATGTGAGAAGATGGATGTCCATAAGCCAGGATGAAGGCAGTCACCAACAACCTATCCCACCAGCACCTGGACTAGGACTTCCCAGCCTCCAGAACTTTAGAAATATATGCATAGTGTTTAATCCACATATTTTATGTATTTTATTATACTAGCCTGAATTTACATTTTATTTCATTTTGCTGTGCCTACGTTCCCTAGCCAATATTTTGTGTTCAAACTCACGACTAATAAAGCAAACACAAAATAAATTAACAACATAATACCATGCTCACAAGAATGGAAAAGTAAAAAAAAAATGTTATTATTACTGTTATTTTTTTCTTCAAAGGGTTGAAGGCTAAAGTTAACTCTTATGCTTTCCTGTTAGAACTTAGGTATGCCCTACGCTTTTTGCAAAGCAGTCAGGCAACATTTATTATCATTTATAATTTGAAGTGCATATATATTTCGGCTCATTACTTCCACTGCTTGGAATCATACTCATGAAAACAAGAGCACACCAATTAACTGCAGAATTGATTGTTATGGAGAAAGTAAATGAAACAGTAAATAATCATTCCTAGAGGAATAATTGATTGATTAAAGTATGACATTTGCAAACAATGTTGTATTTTGATTGTATCTTTGTTTCATCTATTCATTATTTCCACTCATTTTTGTTTAGTAAATACTATAAGTCAAAATACTGTATGCTCCAATGATACAGTGATAAATAAATATCTCTGACTTCATTAAATTTATAATAGTCTAGTGGGGAGGGAGGCAAAGAGAGAGTGGTAAGAGGGAGAGATGGAGACAGAGTATGAGAGAGGAAAAAAATAAGATAATGAGTAGATTATTACTAAAGTAGATAGTGAGAATTCCTAAGAAGAAAAAAATGATGGAAATAAGAAGGGGAGTATAATATTGGAGATTTCTGAATTAAATATGACCATGTCAGCAGAGGACTCCCTTAGAGGGTGCACCCATTTGAGGAGTTGAGTGAATCTGCCATTTCTCTTCAGGGATCTGTCTTATCTGTCCTACTCTTTTTTTTTTTTTGTAAAAAAAAAAGAGAATATTTACTCTTTTTTGGTAAAAAAAAAGAGAATATTTACTCTTTTGGAAATTTACTCTTAGTTGGCCTCTGACATCTTCAAGCTGTATAAGGAATCCTGTACCCACTTTTTCATTTATTCTCCCCAAAATGTTCAACTCTCAAGGAGTTTCTTTTAATTAACCCATTATCTGAAGAGTGTCCCATTTCTCACAACAACAGTCCGGAAAGGGAAATTATATTTATAGACGTGTAAAATTCAACAGGCACTGTGCTGAAATGTTTCTAGAAACTCTTATTTTATCCATCACCAAATACGGAAAGGTTCACTAGTTTGAACTCAAGTTGAAAAGTTACATTTGAGAATTAATATTCCAGTATGAGAATTGGCTTGACAGGTGTAGACATGAATGAAAAATATTAATATGTAAGGGTCTGGAAAAAACTTTTTCCTATTCCAGATACATTTATTTCATAAAAAGGGGCAAATATATTTTATAGTGTTTATTGTGTAAGATCAGGCATCTTACTTACTCTCAAGTCACCAAAAATTAACATCTGTCAAAAATTTAATCAACAATACTGAGACAACCTGAGAAACATTTCTACAGAGTAGAGAAATACTGCCATTTCTTTCTGAACATTGTGGGAAGAAACATACAGTCGCTACACATCCAAAGGTAATGGTTATGTCTATTGTTGATGGCTTAATTTAAAAAAAATACATAAATATAAAAGTCAGAAAGTACAGAAAGTTCCTTGATGAGAAGAAAACAAGGCATTTTAGGAAATGTAGATTATGGATGAATGTACCATCTTCTGAATGATTTTATGAGAAACATATTTGAGGGCTACAAGTGAGAGTGGATAGGTCATGTCACAAAAGGCGAAGAAAACATTCTTGGAATTTTCTCTGTCAGACAAGATTGTTGCCCTAACTTCTTTTGCCTTATTTTAGGTCAAAGGCTTCCATTTCTGTTAGTTCCCTAAAATTAAGCACATGGTTCAGTGTCTTTCTTTTACATGCATGAAACATGTAATAAGCGTTTTTTAAAATATAAACTTTTTTGAAAAATGCAGTTAATTCATGAAATTATTTAGAACAAGCACCTTATTTCAGTTTGCATTTCTTATTTCCAAGGAATTAAAAAACACTTTGGGGGGTTGTACAGATGATGAAGGAATCATATAAGATTCATATAACTTATTTTTTCCTCTTTTTAATAAATGTAAATTTCAGTGTGTCATTGAAAATATCCATTTAGTCTACCCTCCTAATTGAGTCAAAGTAGAAATGCCTACAAAGCAATCAAAAGGCTAATCTTGAGGGTAAGGGGCACTAATCGTGCTCTCTAAAAATCTAACTGTTCCAAAAATTTTTTTTTGTTTCTTTGTTTTTGTTTTTTTTAATTTTTTTAAATTTATAAGTCATGTTTATTCTATTACAGCTGTCTCAATTTTTCCCCCTTTACTCCCCTCTACCCATCCCACCCCCACCCCCCACTCCCACAGTCAATTCCCACTCTATTGTCCATGTCCATGGGTCATTCATACCTGTTCTTTGTCTAGTACTTCCCCCTTCTTGTCACCATTGTCCTCTTTCCCCATCCCCTCTGGTCACTTTCATTCCGCTCCATGTTTCCATGCCTGTGGTTTATTTTGTTTGTTAGTTTATTTTGTTGAATGGAATCTACTTATAGGTGAGATCATATGGTATTTGTCTTTCATTAACTAGCCAAAATTCTTACCTTTATTTTTTATGTTGTTCTATTCTTTACCACTTCTATCAAAACACTGAGAAAAATATCCCTACTCTTTCAATTCAGCTTGGAGGCTAAATGCTGTCTCGGAGAGAGATTCCTTTTTCTACCAACCAGAAATAGCTCAAGTCATTTATTTACTTGCAAAATATCATAGCTATGCTTGGAAGTAATAACAATTGTCTCACTTTTATTCAGCATCTAGGTCAAGTATAAACTTTGAAATAGGTGTTTTGATCTAAGTGATTCATTGCAAATAAAATCCAATATCAAAGACAATGGGACATTCAAATTTAGAGATCTTACTGCTTCGCTCAGGCCTCAGTAATGCTTTTGTCTTCTTGTTTTGGCTTCCACTTTCATGAAGGGCCTTGAACCAGTCCCGCAACCTGTTTGCCACTTCTCTGAACTCCATGTCACTACAGGCTAAAAACAGAGAGAAACAACACAAATCTTCAGTAATAACTTAGCAGAAGGTCAATGTTAATTTTCAAATTATTCTAGTAACAGAAATGTAACAAGGACTAAAAGAAAAAACGCAATACAATTACTAACTGTGCTTCAGCTTTTCAAACGCTAAAAATAAATGTGTTCCAAACAGAAGATGTAATATAGCATTTTATTTAACAAAGGAATATCACTAGTAGAATTCTACCTCCACACTTCACTAGAATATAATAGCAATTGAAGGCTTTCAATTTTAATATCACATAAATTAAGTCAAATATTTATGTACTGAACACTTTCTTCCTGGTAAGGTGGTAGATCATCTGAGGAAGCAGAAGTTGAAAATCCAAAATGAATATATATTTATTATTTATTATATATTATGACTTATAAAGAGTAGTGGGGTATGTTTCAAACATATATTTTTGTATATGCATATGTGTGTACCTGGGTGAGACTAAAATACGGTGTGTCAAACTCATTTATTTGTTACTAAAATAATTTGAAAATATAAGAAATAATTATTTACATTTTTAACAGGGCATTGTTACTGTTGGCTTAACTCCTCTGCAAATAGCAAATGTGTATTTTCCTGTACTGACAATCCTTCTTAATAGTACTCTTCTTGTTCATTTTGTTAAAATAATAATTTATGTAATGTTATAAATGTTACATTATACTTAATATATACTATGTATACTATATTACAATGTGTTATATATAAATTAACATGTATAACATTTGCAATATGTGTTATTTGTAAATTAACATGTAGAACATAAAAATATAGAATATAATGCAATATAATTTAAGACCATTTATTAGTATTAAAGGAAATAAAATTTCAGATGAATAGGATCCTCCCAGAACCCCGTAAGGCAGCTGACCCATAACAGCAAATTGTTGTCACATTTCACAACACTGAGGGGGGAATACTACAAGCTGCCATGTAGGAAGTAATAAAATTGTCACATAAAAATAATAGAGAATCAGAATTTTCTTTTCTTTTTTCTTTTTCATGTTTAATTTGGATGGAGGATCAGGTGGGAAAGTACACTAAAGCGATTTTTAAATATACACAATCCAAAAAACTAGCCATGCTAGGAAGTTACTAGAGAGTGTGATGCACCACACAGAACCAAGAAAGAAGATGGCTGAGATCCAGGAAATAAAAAACTTAAGAGAGAATTGAAAGGAATTTCTAGGAAGATGGTAAAGAGAAATCTTAGAATGCACGTTGTGTGCCCACTGTAGAGGCAGGTAGTAGTACATTTGAAAATCCTTGGTCAAAGACAGAGTGATATACAGAATTCACTAGAAAACTATGAACTATACTGAAAGTCAAAGAAAACATCACTTTTATTGATATGATCTATAATGGCTGAAATTGAATGATTAGACCATAAAACTGTATGCTTGTAATATGAATATTTACTCTTGCAGGCTATCTGTTTAAGTAACATCTAGGCAAGAATTATTTTGATTCTATAAATATCTATGCAGAAGAAAACAAAAGCTCACTTGAAGAGGAATTTTTGTACATATTTATATATGCATTATATATCTCTAGAAGAATACATATCTATATATATGTATAAGTGTATGAGTGTGTGTGTATGGGTGTGTGTGTATGTGTGCACGCACACGCGTGTGTGTGTGTATAATAAGACCAATTATCTCCAGTTAGGGAAACTGAATGAAGTAAAGTGGTATGAGAGAATCTTATTTTTACCACTTTTGTCTTTTGAAAAGATTTTTAAGTCATATGCTTGCATTCATTTTTAAAATAAAGCAGTTTAAATTTAAATTTTCTGCAAAAAATTAATTATAATACATCTAATCCTCGATCTAGAAATTCCCTATCTTAAAAATGACCATACAGGTACATTATCCATATACAAACTCATTTAATTTTACAATATTATTTATTTGGCACTTTTATAACAGCAAGTGTATTAACAAACTGTCCCACTGTCCTTTAGCCATGGCCTAGTGAGATTAATTAGGTACATACATCCAATGAAGCACTATGAGTCATTAAAGTAGTTAAGAAGCTCATTATGTACTGATATGGCACTAGACCCTCAATGTAGTTTTGGTAAAAAAAAAAGAAAGCACAGAAAGTGTATATAGTAAACTTTGATTTGTATAAAAAGAGATGAAAAATGGATTTGTAATGCAATTGCCTACTTTAAACAAGTTAACATTTAAAATGAGTTTTAGTTCTCTATTTCCTATATAGCTCATTTTTTTGCAAACCACACCCAACAAAAAACAAAGTTTTATCTAAATAAAATACCTGCTAAAAATGAGAGGAAGCTTGTTGAACAACTTAGCGCAAATTTTTTACTTCATGATTGTAAATTTTAGTGATATAGTACTCATGTATTTCTAAAGAAAAATTTGCAATATTGTATTTTTTTTAGTTTAAGGAATTTATATTTAAGGAAAATAGCATTTAGAAAAATTACCCAAATATGAAATATTATACAGTTTTATTGAGTGCCACATACATCTTAGCTTCAGTTTCTATATAAGGTGATGCAGGTGCTATAATGGGATATTTTAGGAATTAAGGACACTGTGATAATACTAATAATGATAATAGCAGCTAACAGTGCATACTGTAGAAATACTTTATATAAAATAACATGTTTAATCCTTACAAAAACTTCATAAAAAATCTATGTTAGTATTTTTTCCATTAAAGTGTTAGGAAAATGACACATTGAGAGCTGTAGAACTTGCCTGAGGTCAGACAGGCAAGTGTCAGAGCCAAATTCTGTATCCAAGAAGAGAGAATAGAGTCCAAGGTCTTAATCTTTATAGCAAACCATCTCAGTAGTAGCATGATCCAAATTAGGAAAAACAAGTCAAGCACTGCTTCACTCACAGCCTATCGAGTTCCATTTCAGTGAGTTTTGATTGATGTGACCAGATGATCACTGCAGAGATCTAGAGATGTAGGTTAGCCAAACACACTTAATTTTTGTAATTTATTGATTTCAGAGAGAGAGAAACACTGATTTGTTGTTCCATTTATTTATGGATTCGCTGCTTGCTTCTTGTATGTGCCCTGACCAGGGGTGGAACCCAAAAACCTTGGCATATTGGGATGATGCTATACCCAACTAAGCCAGACAATAACACAAAACCTATATAACTAAATGTCTTGACTTTGAAGGATCATGTAGCTTTACGTCCAATTTTCAATGCCAATTAAAAACAGAGTACAGAAATCTCATGGCAATATCTACCACACATTCCACAGCAGTAGTAAGGGCCCACGATGGAGGAGGTTACTCAATAAGACTTACTTTTCCTTTTCTTTTAAAGAGAGGCTACAATGGTGTCTTTTGTTCTTATAAATCATGAGTCAAATGTTTTTGTCACACAACAAAAGAAAATACATAGCATAACCAATACTGAAATATAACATTATTGGTAGACTGCCATTTTTACTTCACTTTTGAACAAATCCTTTATTACAAGCATGTTCTGACTGGCATATGACCAATCCAATTTCACTCTTGCAAGTGTCTGGCAGTCATCAGCAATTTACTACTGTTCTTTACTAGAATAAGTAAATTAATGTCTATTCTTTATATTTTCCAACAGTTCTGCTACATGGTTTTCTTCCTCTAGAAATGATACATTGTATTTATACAGCATGAAATGCTTTTAATGAGGTTTCACATTTGATTTTAATATCTAGCCTGGAAGATTAAGTAAATAATAATTATTTTTATGGCTATGGAAACTAGGACACTGAATATAAATGACTGCCCTAAATTTTATAGCCAGTAGTGCACTAGAACAGTACATGGTACTCATTGATCTAATTGTATTTGTAGCCAGGAATTTATAACAGAATAATAAATCATAATGACATAATAAATATGATTTTAAATTAAATGTGAATAAAAGAAAAGCTAGGTTTCAATGTGTGGTTCTTTGGTTGTGTCAAATTATTAATTAGAGCATGGTGTCATGTAAAGCAAATGAAGGAAAAAGGAAGAGGTCTGGACATTTTAAAGTTACATATGCATTTATATTTGTGTACACACACACACACACACACACACACACATACTCACATGGTAAGTGAGGATTCTATTGCATGTTTAGTAAGACAAAACATGTAATAAAATCAGTGGAGATAAATCCAGAAAAAAATCTAGAATCTAAACAGAAGCACTAGAGGGAGACTACAGGTGAAGAACATAAAAGAAAGGGGAAGAGACCTGGAGGATCAGTCTAACAAGTCTAGTATCTGCCTTATGGAGTCAGTAAGAGTGAAAGAATAATTGGAAATGGATAAAATTATTTTTAAAATAAAGAGGTACTACTCTCAAAAACTGAGAAACACAGTACTCAGACTAGTTGAGTGGTGCCTTTCAAGATGAATTCACAAGCAAGGGCTAGCTCCAGCCGGAACAAATCCAGTGGGTGATGGCAAGAGTATGATGATTTGAAAAAATAGTCTCTGACTGACAAATTGTAAAAACTTATCATAGTCATAACAAAGGCGGTTGGGGTATGAAAATGGTAGATAGATGCATTTAAAACTGAGGAAAGAAATATTCTCCATTAAGATAGAAAAAAATGCATTATACAGATGTACCTACAGCATAAATTCTCACTTTTTATTTTTATTTTTTGAAGATTTTATTTGTTTTTTAGGAAGGAGAAGGGAGAGAACATCACTGTATGGTTGCCTCTTGTGTGCCCCCTAATGGGGACCTGGCCAGCAACCCAGGCATATGCCCTAGACTGGGAATCAAACTGGTGACCTTCTGGTTTGCAGGCCAACACTCAGTGCACTGAACTGCATCAGCCAGGGAGAAATTCTCACTTTTTAGTAAACAGTATTCACATCGTTTTATTGTAAAAGTTTTTGATGTGCAAATTGACTCACTTTATAAATAATTCACAGAAGACTTAAAAATGGTTCTAGAATATAATTTAAGTGTTAACCA